CACCTTTCGATACTGTCTTTGAACACCGAAAGCAGCTGCGGCTGTTTTCAGTGTGCTCCGACAAGACGACGTGCCGGAGCCTGCTTCCGCTGACGACGCAGAAGACGGCGTCTGCTGGACAGATGTACAGACGGCCGGGGTGGAATTGGCAGCCTAAGATCTTGCCTCCGTCGCTGACGTCTGCCTAATCGATCTTATCTTGTCTAAGGTCGGCTGCTGCTTCTTAAAGAATGAACGCAAGCTGACGAAGAGGTGCAAAACTGTTCTACGCCGATATCAGGCGAGGCTCAGTGCACAAACATGCGCCGAGGTCCACCGAACCGCGCAAAGGGCTAAGCGGCCAGGAACCCAGTGTGTCTTTGAAGTAATCACAAATTTAAGTGCAACCATCGCAGGAATCTCGGCTCTCTAGCCGAACCAAGTCGAATGCCCTTGCATCTGCCTAAGACATGACATGAACCTGGGCCCAATTCCGTGCTGAATCCGAAAAAGGGCCGCTGTCTTCGGCAACTGTGTGCGTCGCATTGCAGGAAACGCTCCATGGAACTTCAGTGTAGATGCAAAGCGGTCCTGCCGAAGACACAACTTGCGACGCAATGGGGTGCGACGCGGATGTGCTTTGCTAAAAGCCGAGCATATCCGATTCGCCCCACCATTGCACTAAGCTCACAAGAACGTGGCCAGGCCACGGGCGGAGGGGAGGGAGACCGCGACGGAGGGTGGGCTTGCGAACCTGGGAGGTTTCTCCGTCGCAGCGAGGCCTCGTGGGGTTCCAAGGATGGAACTGCCGAGGTAACAGGCATGCCAGATCTGCGTGCCGTCGTGCTCTTCGCTGTAGCACATACCAATATTTTCTTGACCGGATGCAACCGCCGTCGTGATACGACTGACGAGGAGATGCCTCCAAAAACTCGGCTGCATTGGGACGCAAAAAATTTCTTCCACGTGATACAAATCCTCGCGAACCTACGTGACCGTGGGCCTGGTCCTGGACGAACCTTGATAGCTATTGGAAATGGCTAGGCTAATCGAGCGCAAACAATAAACTACGTTACCAAGGCGTTGATGCATGCTTCGTCGTACTTTGTACAGCACCGTTCGACACTGTCGCTGAGCGACGGGGGCAACTGCGGCTGTTCTCGATGTTCTCCGAAAAAACGATGTGCCGGACATCCCTCGGCAGACTGCGCAGAAGACGCTGACTGCCGAACACGTGTACAGACGGCCGTGGTGAAATTGGCAGCCAGAAAGTCTTTGCCGAAAGGTTTTTTTTTCAGCTGCACAACCCACTCCTTCTTCAGACACTGAACGACTCCAAGTTTTCTAAGCGATACTAATAACTTCCTTGTGCTGAGGTTCGCCGAACAGCGCCTGAATCCAGCGAACTGGCGTGGTCAGCGCCGGTTAGCAAGAATTTCGAAGAAAGTTGCACGTGTCGATTGAGCTTGCCAAGTCTACGAAAGTGCTGCTCTCAGGTCGACCACTCTTGTGATGGAGAAAAGTAACGCGTTCTGCATTAGGTGCTGATGCGTTTCCTGTTCTAGAAGACCAGCAAGAGATTCTCGTTCGGCTTGCAGGCACTCCTCTGGCAATTCCGGAAGTCGACGACTTCGACGACGTGCCGTGTTGCTGCATTAAGTGCCATGACCTGTTCCTACATAACAAGCACAAACAAAACAGCGGCAGGTGCCCCCTGTTATCGAAATTTATCCGAGGTCGTGGCTCTCCGATTGCTTCTGAGGAAAGACAACAACGTGCTGTGCAGCCTCCCAACGTGCCTTTGGAGGTGTTCCTGGAGGAAAAAAAATGCCGTCGGCAAAAAATGCTGCTGCGCCAGCACTCGTGCTTTTTGTGCTGTCTCATTAACGTGACCTGGTTCTCTCCAAGCGGACGCACGAGGCGATCGCAGACGTCTCGGCTCTCTAGCCAGACCAAGCCGCCTTCCGAAACGTTTTCGCTGGGAATAGTTGAGAACCATTCTGTTCGTTGAGCTCCTGGGAAGGTCCATCACTTGCTGTTTGATACCGCCAGCTATGGATTCTCGAGTATCAGACGAAGCTGTTCACCGTCCCGCATCTTCGAGTGCGTCGTCCTCGAAAGCGCCGTCCGTTGAGGCCTCGCGTTACAGACCAGAATTCTCTGCGACGAGCATGCCTGGCGGCCGTGCTGCGGTAGCAGACAAAGTGCGGCTGATGTCTCGACGACGAAAAAAGAAAATCTTGCTGGAAGATTATCAGCTGCCGTCAGGACACCCGGATTTCCACTTCCAAATACAACTGCTTCGCACGGATGAAACGACTAGCGTAGGTCTGCGCTTTGCCAACAAAGAAGGCAAGCTCAGAGTGGTTAGTGTTCAAGCAAATGGACTTCTGGCCGCTCACAACGATCGCATGGCCTGGCATTTCGGTACCTCGCTCTGTTACTATCATCAAGTTCTTCCTGAGGACATCATCGACTCGGTCAACGGAAAGACTGACATCGCGGAGATGAGACTCGAACTAAAAAGATCGACGGAGCTTTTCTTGGTTCTGAAAAGAACGGCTTCGGAAATCGCTTGCCCATGCGAGATTGACGATGCGGCCAGCCGTTGTGCAAAAAGCTAGTGAGCACTGCGACAGACTTCGCACTTGCAGAAGATGGTTCGGAAGAAAAATAGCAGCTCGCTTTCTTTTGCATGCCATGCTTGCACCCCAACCTTTCGCATTTGCGTTTGCCTAGCACCTGCAGGCCGAAAGAAGCTGGCTTCCTCGACCGGGCAAAGAAGCGTCTCTCCGACCCCGTCCCCCACGGACGTTATTAGCCCCCCACCCAACCCCCCCACCCCCCGACCCACCCAAGACGACCAAAACGTGCGGGCGTTATTGGCGCCCGCCCCCCCTGAGACCAAGCAGAAAAGGTGCGTTTCCAGTCTCCGAGCTTACGTTTTCCAAGGTTCCAATGAGAATCCTCTTGCTGCACGCGTCGAACACAGACGTTCGCAGCCCCCCACCCCCCGCCGAGCTTGCCTGTTCCAAAGTTCCGCCGAGACTGCTCTTGCTGCACGCGTCAAACACGGACGTTATTGGCCCCCCACCCCACCCCGCCCCACCCCCCCGGCCCCACCACGCGAACTTGCCTGTTCCAGAGATCCAAGGAGACTGCTCTTGCTGCACGCGTCAAACACGGACGTTATTAGCCCCCCCCCCACCCCCCCGCCCCCGCCCGCCAAGCTTGCCTCTTCCAAGGTTCCGCCGAGACTGCTCTTGCTGCACGCGTCAGACACGGACGTTATTAGCCCCACCCCCCAGCCCGCCCCACCCCCGGCCCCGCCCCCGCCCAGGACCGATCCCGAAACGTGCTTTTGGAGCCTGCAAAAGTGCGCCCAGGACCGAGACTGGCCTTGCTGCACGCGTCGAACACGGACGTTATCGGCGCCCACCCCCCCGAGACCAACCAGAAGGTGCGTTTCCAGCCTCCGAGCTTGCGTTTTCCAGGGTTCCAATGAGAGTACTCTTGCTGCTCGCGTCAAACACGGACGTTATTAGCCTCCCACCCCACCCCCCCTCCGCCCCCACCCGCGGAGCTTACCTGTTCTGTAGGGTTCCAATGAGACGGAGACTGCTCTTGTTGCACGCGTCAAACAGGGACGTTATTAGCCCCCACCCCACCCCACCCCCCCACCCCCGGCCCCACCCAGGACCGACCGAAACGTGCTTTTGAAGCCTGCAAAAGTGCGTTTTCGATGGTTCCGCTGAGACTGCCCTTGCTGCGCGCGTCGAACACGGACGTTATTAGCCCCCCACCCCACCCGCCCACCCCCCACCCCACCCAGGACAACCAAAACGTGCTTTTGGGGCTTCCAAAAGTACGTTTTCGATGATTCCGCTGAGGCTGCACGCGTCAAACGCGGAAGTTCTCGGCCGCGACCCCAACCCCCCACCCACCCCCACGTCAGCCCCCAAGCATGCTCTGAAAACGCTTCTCCGGAAACCAACGAAAACATTCTTTTCGAGACTCCAAAAGTGCATTTTCGATGGTCTGTCAGATGTTTCCTAAAACGCCTCGAAACGCACTTTTCGGCCAGCGTTTGCCAACTGGGCAAGTGCACTTTCCTATGGTTTTTACAATGGATTCGGCACTTTGGCGCGCAAAAGTCGTCTATTGAGGCTAACTTGCAAAGTGGACTTTCCTATGGTTTTTACAATGGATTCTACACCTTTCCGTGCATGTTGATGCCATTTCCGGAAAAGACCGAAGTGCACGTTCATATGGTTTTTACAATGGATTCGACACCCGTCTTTGCGCAAGTGACTTGGCAAATCTTTGCGCAAGCGACGCGATTTTATTTGCGTAAGTGACGGTGTTGCCGCCGTCGTCGTAGTAGTAGTAGCAGCATTAGTAGTAGTAGTAGTAGTAGTAGTAGTAGTAGTAGTAGTAGTAGTAGTAGTCGCAGTATGTGCAGTAGTCGCAGTATGAGTAGTAGCAGGAGTAGTAGTGGTAGTAGTAGGAGTAGTAGTAGCAGTAGTAGTAGTAGTAGTAGTATTACTACTACTACTACTACTACTACTACTACTACTACTACTACTGCTACTAGTACTAGTACTACTAGTTCTACTAATACGACTAGTACTACTAGTACTACTAGTACTACTAGTACTACTAGTACCACTAGTATTACTACTACTACTACTACTACTACCACTACTACTCCTGCTACTACAACTACCGCTACTACTACTACTACTACCACTACTACTACTACTACTACTACTACTACTACTACTACTACTACTACTACACCTCCTACTACTACTACTACTACTACTTCTTGTTAGGGAGTTCAGGGTTCACGTTTTGGTTCTTGTTAAGCAGTTTCAGTCTTTGTTAACATAATCAGATTTAGAAAACCCCATTATTTGCTGTAGATACCCTTCTGGTAGCTGACTTCTCGTGCCTCGAGATGAACGCCAGGCTACGACGAGCTGGTGGACGTCTTCGCCCTTGGAGTTGTGAGCTACTTCATGATGTTTCGGGCTTTGCCTTTTTGGGGGAAGACCCAAGATGAGACGCTGGAGCAGACTCGGCGCGGTGAGGCGGAGATTCCCGAGCTGCTAGGCTTTTGCTAAGGACGCTAGAAAGTTCTGAGGTACCCTAGCTTCGGGGCCCTTGAATGGTTCTATAGAGGTCTAGGGTTAAGGAAGTTGATTTAAGTCAATTATCAGAATGGGGGTCTATAGCTATTGAAAGGATTTCCTGATTCTGGCGACTTAAATTCAATAAGGAGTTTCCGAAAATACGTGACCCTAATATCGGACCCTAAATAGCAGGATCCTTGTTATAAGGACCCCGTAAATAAGGTACTTCTAATTTTCGGAAACTATACCCCTGTACAGCCCTTTTAAAGGAAACCTTATAGTCCCTTTTTGCAGCCCTTTCAAGGAACCTTCAGGTACTCTTAAGTTTCGGAAACCTCTTGCCTCCCTAAGAAGAGCTGAGGTTGAATGACGAGCGATGGCGTGCAGTTGTCTCTCTGGTATTGCGGATGATGTCCAAGGAGACCCCAAACCCTGAACCCAAACAGCAAGCCCCAAACCCGAAACCCGAAACCCTAAAACTAAGACCCTAAACCCTAGAACCCTACACCCTAAATCCTAAATCCTGAAGGCTTTGGCTCTAAAGCGGTTTAGGGTTTAGGGTTTAGGGAAGCCCCCAGGAGGCCCAGGATCGGCCGAGCGCCCTGGCTTGCTTCAAGGAGCTGACGGAGCTGGAGCCTCTGGTGACAAAAAGCGGAAAGTCTCGCGCCCTCCGGATCGCCGAGGCTGCCTTAGTGCACTATGGCTATGTGGATGCAGCTGAAGATTGCAGCTTGGAGGAGTTTTGCGAAAGCGCTGCACCGGAGGTGGAGGATGCTTCGCCACCGGTTGCTGCACCCAAAGCCTCCTTGCTGAGCGGAGTTGGTCGAATGCTGACCGCGGCGAAGGCTGCCGTGCATGCGCCCAGGGTCCGGCAAATGGTGTCCAAGGCTTTTCGGAGGAGTGCTCATGCATCCGAGGTGGTGTCAAAAGTGTCGGGGCCGGAGAATGAATCTCAAAGCTTCTGGGTCCTTGTTAAGGAATGTATTTCAAGTTGCCGCCATAACAGGAATCTATAGTAAAATAACTTGGGTTTCCCTACGATGGTAACTTAAGCCTTAAACCCTAGACCCTTTAAGGAGCCCTTATAGATCCCTAGGAGGAGCTCTTGTGTGGATCCTTATGATGGTAACTTTAAGAAGAGCCGAGGCTGCGATGGGCATTGCCTCGCCGAGGCCTACGGCTTGATGCTAGGCGGGGATGCGGAAGGAGCAGAGGTGACGGGAGTTGTTCCGAAAGCAACGGACACGCTCCCCGGTCTTGTGGTCTCCAATGCAGAACCAGCGAAAAACCAGGGAGAGCAAGATGATCGAGATGCAGCCGAGTGCGGCTCGACCATCGTCGCGGAGTCCGAGAAGGACGAAAAGCAGCGCGGCAGAGCGACCAGTTCCAGTATCGTGCTTGACTTTCCCGGCAAGGCTGCTGAGGATCTGGATCTTCTCCTGGAGGAAGATGACCTGGACGGTGCATCATCAGTTCTTCCGCCAACAGACGGTGCAAAACTACCTCATCCGCCCACAGACCAGGATGAAGCATCTTGGCAGTCTCACTCCGCACCACCACCGTGCGACTGCCCAGAGGTGTTGTCAGGTCATCAACAGTGCGACTTGCGCCGGTTCAACAAACACGTGAGCGAGTCGCCCGACGAGTCGCAAGAAGAAGGAGACGCTTTTGAGTTTGCGCCCGTAGTCAGTGACGAGCTTGAGTAAGGAGTGCTCAGAACGTAGGACCAGCTGACATACGGAGGTAGCTTGCAGAAGCATCCTCGATACTTGCTCGTTGTGACATGCTCGGATGCCGGATCTTATCTGCAGCCTTGTGAGTCCTGTGGTCTGTAGCCTGTCGGCATGGGAAATGAGATTCGAGCGACAGAGCTGCCGATAACATCCGTGTCTTCACGAGCCGCAAGCGGTGCTAGAAGACGAAGAAGCAGCAGATGCTTTGAGCTTGTGCCTGTAGTCAGTGACCAGCTCGAGCGAAGACTGCATGGGGTCAGTTGCTTCCTGTTGCAATACGTAGGACTAGTAAATATTTCGATGTAGCTTGCAGAAAACATCCTCGAAACACGCTCGTTGCGAAATGTTCCGATGCCGGATCTTATCTGCGGCAGCCTTGTGAGTCCTGCGGACTGTGGTTTATCGGCATGGGAAACGAGATGCAAGCAGTAGAGCTGCCGATAACATCCGTGTCTTCCCAGTGAACATCCGTTTGACTTGGGTTTTTTCGACCTCCGAGAATCAGAGCCATGCAGTAACATGCATGTTACAATCTCTTCGATGCTCGCAAGTAGCGTTGACAGCTGCAGCGGGCTTTTTGAGCAAACATCTGAGCGAGTCGCCCAACGAGTCGCAAGAGATTGCTCCAACAAGAAGCTTGTGCTTTTGAGTTTATGCCTGTAGTCAGTGACGAGCTCGACTGAGGACTGCGTGGGGTGTCAGTTGCTTCCTGACTCAGTACTGTAGGGGCATAAAGAATTTCCAATATTATGGTGGAGGTTCCTTATTATGAATAGAGTATAATGGGGCCAAAATCCTATTCTAAGTATTAAGTCCCTATATTAGTTGGACTAGCAGACACTTTGATGTAGCTTGCAGCAACATCCTCAGCACATGCTCGTCCAAATTGTTCTCCTGCGACATGGTCGGATGTCGGATAGTATCGGTAGCAGCCTTGTGAGTCCGTGGATTTTGGTTTATCGGCAGAAGAAGCGAGATGCGAGAACAAGAGCTGCCGATGAAATCCGTGTGTTCCCAATGGACATCCATTTGACTTGGGGTTTTCTTCTGACCTCCGAGAATCGGAGCCATGCAGTAACATGCAGTAACATGCATTTTGCAATCTCTTTGATTCCGGTAAGCAGCGTTGGCAACTATCGATCTGCCAAGGTTGCGTCTCACCTTCAAGGGATGAAAGTCGCCTCAGATGCTCTTGACAGTGGTGGCGGCGGCTTCGAAATGGCGCTTGTTGTCATATTGTTCCAAGAAATGTGGTCATCACTGTTGTTGCTTCTGAAACTCTGCCGGAGCTGTGGACACGACTGTTTTTCTCCTGTCTTAGCGCTGGCGGGCACGGCTCAAAGGGCTATGGCAAGATGAAGTCTTGCCGTGGGATGCCTGACCGAGAGCACACCCCTGAAATCTGCTTTGAGGTGCACACCTCTCTGAGGTCATGTGCCCGGAGTCCAGGAATCTTGTTGAATGAAAGCTGAAGTAACGCCCACTGCGAAAAGTATCACCGGCCATGTCCACCTGACTTCTCACACCCAGGCCATCCCCATCATCGCCATGCCGGAAAGCCCAGCGCAACAGCTCAAGAAGAAATCTACTGTAGAAGCCGGACTAGTTATAATATTATTCCATGGAGGTTCCATAGTACACGCATACCTTTTTTCTAGTTACTACCGGCCCCAACCCTACACCCAAAACCCAAAACCCTAAACCTTAAACTCAACCAACGACCGGGTCCGAAATTTGCAAGTCCTAGCCCAGAGGCCCGTTAGAGGCAGAGTTGCGCCTCACTTCCCATGAACCCTAAACCAGAGCCCTCGAGTACCCTGAAAGAACCCTTAAGGGAACCCTATAGCACCCTTGTAGAGCCCTCAGAGGAACCTTGTAGTGCCCTTGTAGTACCCTTTCAATACCTTTGCAGTACCCTTATGGAACCTTTAGCGGAAATCTCTCCACAGGAGTGTCCGGGCGCCGGAGCCTGGCGACTGGCCTGCCAGGAGGCCACTGAGTGCGCTGCTACTACTACTGCTGCTGCTGCTGCTACTACTACTACTACTGCTAGCTTTCCTCCTCCGGTCCGACGCCTGTCGCGGGGCATGATGTAGCCTTGTAAACTGGACGCTACAGCTGTGCTTGTTCTGTCGAGCATTCGACATGCTATTACTAACAACCCCGCACGGTGCGATGCAAAGTCTGTAGACCAGGGACGTCATTAGGTTTTTGGCGTGGATGCTCTGGATGTCATTAAGGTTTTGGCGTGGATGCTCTGTTCCCAAATCGCACTAGACCATGAAAGTCAATAGGTTTTTGGCGTGGATGCTCTGTTCCCAAATCGCAGTAGACCATGGACGTCATTAGGTTTTGGCGTGGATGCTCTGTTCTGAAACGCGTCGGATGAACACGAAGACAACCAAAATGCAAATAAAGCCGTCATTCTGATCGCTCTCTTTTTGGCACGAAAACCCCACATCGCCAAAAACAGTAAAATATCAAGAAAATACAAAGACAAGTGCTGTAAATAGCAGCATTTTTGCGCTGCAACATTGAAGAGAAAGGTTAAACAATCAGCCAAAAAAGCAAAAACCATGCACTTTCCAAAATTTTAGCAATGAGGAAACAAGTGTTGTAAACCACAGCAGTTTCGACAACGCGATGTCTGAAGGATGATAGTTCTTGGCGTCGCACCGGGGGAGAAACCAAACAACAACAACAACAACAACAACAACAACAACAACAACAACAACAACAACAACAACAACAATTTATTGGACGCTGAGCGAGCGGGCTCTGCTCATTGCGGGCGTGTGAGACTGCCTTTGCACCTGAGCAAAGGTTTGAGAGCAGAAATGCAAATGGCCTGGGCATGAGAGCACTGAGAACAGGCTAACGGAAAGAGAGAGCTACCCTACAAACTACATCAGAAGCCAGCTCATATTACTCAGGCGTGGGTGAGAAACCCTCCGACACCCTCAGTGTGGACTATGGCGTCCCATGTCCACGAACCAATGATTGATGAACCGTACCCCGCGGGACCGTCACTCAGAGTGCCTGTTGCGTGGCGTCCCACTCATGGTCACTCTCAATCAGAGGCGATGGGCCGTAAGGTCGCAAAGGTGATATATAGCCCGTGGCCGTCAGCTGTGCAACTTGAGCAGCAAAACTGAGTGACAGCGTTCCTGCTCCCTGCCGTGCAGGCAGGTCGGTCCCACGGAGCCAGTGGGTCGCCCCCTCCCTGTAAAAGGAAGTAGGGGCCGCTGGCTGCAGGGGAACCCTCAGCTTAATCATCACAAACATGGACTGGCATAGGGCCAGCCTCCGCTGTGCTCGGTAATGAACCAAGTCGCACTAACAGCACATAACAGCCGTGGCGTGCTTGCCTGAGATCGGAATCTGAGGCCGGAATCGACGGGCGACCATCGTCCGTGCTGAACCAAGGTTGATCGGGGTTGCTCCTCCAAAGGGAGCGATAGTGTCCACTGTGCGGAGTGTCTCCGATATGAAAGACACAGGACTGGACCCATCCGTGCTCTAGTTGAACGGAGCCCGTCGGGGCCGTCTGGAGTCCAGAACCCACACAGCAAGCAATAAGACATAAGGTCCTGAGACTCATCCAACCTTCCTAGTTCAACAGCTGTGTGTGTAGTCAAGGTGTCATGCAAGCGCTGCTGCCTGGGATGCAACCGGGGCATCAGCTGCGAGTCTGAGGGAGGGTGCGCCGCGTCATCCAGCTCCTTTAACCTAGCTGGCTCCGAACAGGCGCCAGATAGCAGGTGATCTTTTAAGCCCTTCATTTGAGGGAATTGCCTGTTGCAGGCTGCACACTTGGGGAGCCCTCCTACGGAGAGAGTGTGGGAAAAACCTCGAGGGACATATCTAAGAAGCGAGCCTGGATGCTTGCGGGCCTGGTGGGTGCGAAGACCAACCTCAGTGTCGAAGGCCTGAGCACACGTCGGACATGCGAAAGAGGGAGGGGCCTCCTGCTGCGCTGTGTCCTCGGAGAGTTGTTGCAGAACGTCTGCGTACCTGGCAGAGAGCGCCTCTGCTTGATGAAGCGCCTGCTGTGTCAGAGAGACATCACCTGCAGGGGTTGTCTGCTGGCGAAGACCTAGGCGCTTGACACGATTGGCTTGTCTCGCCTGCAGCTTACAAACAGGATCCATGATCTCGTGGGAGGCATAGAGGTCAGTGGTCGATATGTGTGTAAGGTGCACTGGCTTGTTCAGTACAGCTCGGATTTTTCGAGCGTGCCAAGCCCGCAAGAGTTTGGCTGTCTCCAAAGTCAAGCCCACGTCCACCAACCCAGAGGCCACTGTGGCCCAGATAGTACTATGCCAAATATGCAACCGCGATGCCGGCCCTGCCGTGCGTCTGTTGTGAACGAAGCGACGTACCTGCTGCAATTTGGCATTGCCCTCCTGCAACCGAAACGTGAGAGTAGCCTTCTCAAAGTTAGAGTAAGAGAGCATGACTCCGAGATACTTAAAGGTTGTCACCACCGGAAAGCCTTCGTGAGACTTGGACGCTCCCAGCCGCCACATCTTGTGGCGAGTACCGTCAGGCGCGGTGCGCCAATACGTGTGCTTGGAGATGGCGCGTTGCGCCTGTTGGCCCTCGAGCTTTATCATGACGGTGCATTTGGCACCATTGACAGCAAATCCATGACTGCGGACCAACTGCAATAGCTGCTCAATCAGAGCATGAGCGCGGTCCAGGTCTTCCAATGAATGGATTTCGCGGTGAACCGTCAGATCATCCGCGTAGCCTGTGAGGTAATCCACCACGGCACGAGCACCGACAAGAGCTATGAGCTCCCGAAAGATGGTGCCCGTAAGCATGGACAAGAGAGAAGGGGCAAGCTTACAACCCTGTTTAATGCCAGTTGTGGATTGGACTGTGTCCTCTTCGCCCTGCGTGCGAAAGGTGTAAGCACTACCAGCATGTAATGAGGCGACTAAGTCCATGAGGTCCTGAGGGACTCCCGC